CAGCAGCGCGCAACGCGCAACATCGTCGCAGTCGTCGCACCACGGGCACGCTCAATAAACGGCGCTAGTGTCTGTCAAGTGTCACAGCCGTTCTCGTCGGCCGACAGTGTTGTGAGACTCGAATCGGTGATTTAATTAGGAATAACGTACTTCTTTTTTTTAAGTAAAATTGTGAAACTTTAAGCAATAATGACTGACAAGAAAGGTAACTATACGACGTAATCGCGCGTTACCACTTTAGCTGCGTGTGATATACGTTGACGGAGGATTGGGGGATATGTACAACGTACCCACACAGGCATACCTACAGACGCGCGTTCACACATACGCACACACACGTACACGATACATACGAACACGTACACGCGTACGCGCGCCCGCGCGCGCACACATATATACATACCACACGTATATATATATACGCTCTCGTTGAGATAAGCCGTACCTCACCACTTGTCACTTGGCGCGACGACCGGGTCGGTTGCCTCAGGCGACGTCGTCGACGCGACTCCTGGGTGCGGACGGGTCTACGACGCGTCATGGCGTCGGCTTGCCCATCGCGCCGTTGGGCTCCGGGCGCCGGGCACGGACCGCTCGAATTACCCCTGGCCCGGGTTGACAGGACAAATCAATACCGCGCATCGCGCTGGGAATACAAAATGGCCTCCGGAGAGCTGTTCATTCTCTTTCTTGCCAGAGAGAGGGAGAGAGAGGGAGGAGAAAAAAAAAATGAAAGGATGACAGAGAAACCTCTCGGTGTTTACGCCCCGAATTTTTCTTCGCGAGAATTCTCCTCGGATCTTTTTCGCGCCGAATCTTCGCGATTTTTATGATCGCGTCTCTTTTTAGCCAACGCCGTAAGATCCTCAAATTCTATAATTTTCGTGTTTTTTCAAGTTTCTGAAATCTCGTATATATACGCGCGTTCTTGACCTCTCTCGCGTTCACGAAATTTTTTCGATTCTCGCCACACCTGCGTTTTCCTCGAATATTCTCGAGCCACTTGGATTCTCAGATTTGTAAATCTTCGTGTATATGAATTCGCTTTTCGTGGACGACCGATCCCTTTGCATTGATCTCAAAAATTCTTGGAATCCCAGTTATTTGCTATCATTAGTTGCTTTCCATTTACATCAAAACTCAGATAATTCTCACTTGTGATGTCATTCTGTCTTTATTATTTATTAATTGACAAAAAGGATAGAACGACGTCACAAGTGAGAATTATCTGAGTTTTGATGTAAATGGAAAGCACCTATTAACCCTAGAACGCATGTATCATTTTTTTGACCTTCTAACGCATGACTGGGGGCAATATCGACCCCACGCTTTATTTGATCGTAAAACCGGTCCTACAGAAATAAAGGGCCTTTAAACCTACATGAATTTCTTCGTTTTTTAATAACGAAGAGAATGGTATGCGGTAAATTTAATTTTACTCAAGTTTAGTTAGTGAAAAATCCATTTAAAGACTCGACAATAATGTCACTCGCTAGCTCAGGAGCGTTTTTCAAAGTTCGCCTGGGGTCGAAATCGACCCCTCTCATGCGTTCTAGGGTTAATTCTCACATTTTTAGACATTTGTTTTAAATATTCCGCTTTTGTCTCTTACGTTTTGTTTCTAAATTCTTGGACTCTTTGCCTTTTTAATTTTAATTATTTTTAAGATGTTTCAATTTTTTATGATAAAATACTATTAAAATGAGACTATAAGTTCTCAGAGCCACAGATTATCGAATTGCTTATTGAAGTTTTTAACTCTTCTTTCTTTAGTTAATACATATTTGATGATACGAGCACCTGATTTAAAAATACACCGCATATACATACATATATAAATACATTCATATACCCAGGTAGAACAGAGTCACAATCAAGTCAAAATGATGGTAAAATGACTAGAAATCGTCATTTTGCTGTCATTTTGATTATCGTGACTTTCTGTTATACCTGGAATATATACTATATATTTATATATGTAGCACAGACTCGTAAGGCCCGTTCTATTTAGCTGGACCTCTTGCACGGTTCATCTTCTAATCTTTTTCTCTCCCAACGTGAAAAGAAAAAGGGAAAAGATGAACCGTGCGAAAAGTTCAGTTGGAAAGAACAGGCCTATACAGTGCAGACTATATGTGTAACATTAGGTCTGTTTGTTTTAGTTGAACTTGGGTTCACGTTGGGAGAGAAAAAGAAAAAAGATGAACTGTACAAGAAGTTCAGCTAAAACGAACAGGCCTAGTGAGATTGTCAAGCTCCAGTCAAGCTATTACATGTACATGGTGCATTTTTTTTGCAAATACATACGCATTGCAAACCACATACATTAAAAATTAAAACATGAGTTTTCAGTTGGATTATATACAACAAAGATTCCAAGGATAACAAGTCACATTCTTTTCGGCTCGCGGCTCACATCTTTTGACAAATTGGCGCTCCGGAAGTCATCCCCTTGTATTACTCAGTTGTATTCTTACAGATGTAAGGGGTCCTGGTTACGGAAAGTGAGAATGCGCAAACGCCCCGTGTATACGAGGTGTATAATTTTAAAGGGACCCCGTAGAGCTTAAGAGTCAAAGAGTCATTTGCCAAATAGTTCCGTTGTCGCTAACGATGATCGAACAGACACCCTCTGGTGTCGAGAGAGAGAGAGAGGTGATCGTGTTCACGTTGAGCGTCCGTACGTTTTGCTCAAGCCGTTCCAGACGTTCCGGATGCGCTTTCGTACCCTCCCGCACGACGGGACGCGAGATCTGAGACACCCCTGGAATAGCTTCGGCAAAGAGACTCACTTACTTTCTCATGTAAGCGCTGTAAGAACGGTATATACCTCGACCAACGGTGCCGAGACGTATTTCATTACCGAGTCTGGGTCTGTCCCCCCCAAAAAAGCAGGCGCTGCGCTCCCACGTAGAGCGCGGTATCGTAAGGATAATACGTAAAAGAAAAAAAAAAGAGCTTAGCCTGTAAGGTGGAGAGCCGACGCGCGCTCTCCTTCACCGTAATGCTAAATTATTTGGTAATTGTGATGTGAAGATAACGTTTATATATATATACTGCTGCGAGTCTGCTACCGTTTATACCTTAATGGCGGTGTGTAGCAGCTGAGCGGAGGGATAGTGCCTACAGTTTGGCTGTCAATATGTTTGCAGCGGACCATTACAAAGACGATTTGATCCCAGTCAGTAGGTGGAGCTCCGGAGACCGGCGCAGCCTAAGCCACGTATCTAACCTCACCTTACTCTATATATTACCTTAACTCACTACGTGTTTATATACCAACATTATATTACGTATACACACACATAAATATATATATATATTATATATAAATATGTATACCACCTTTGATTATGTTGAGGCTAACGTAAGGACGTTGATTGCTTCTAGCTGTCGTTTGTCGTGCACTCCTTTTTGCCTTTGTAGCAAGGATAAGACTTGTAGTAAGGACCAAGTGATGCTGCGACATCTCGTTCCACAAGTATCAAGTGGAGAAGCTATTTCACTCTCCGTATCAAGAAAGAGAGAGAGAGAAGGATAGAGAAATCGCATTATTTTTTAAATATATAACAGACATCAGTGTCTTGTAATGTAAAACAATTGTATCGAGAAGGTCCAACCGTTTTCAGACCCTCGAAAATTCTTATCGTAAAATCTAGTAGAGTCCTATCTCTCTTCTCATTGTTAGAATATCTTTGGAAACGATCGCTAGCCTTCCGTCAGCCTCGGCATATACATAAAGATATAGAATGCACCAGGCGTCTTCCGATTTAATACAGAAAATGCTCCATGCTCGAATCGCGGATTACGCGACTTCTGATGCGGCCACGTTTACGAAAGCCTCGAGGAATGGACTCGCGAATTTTTCGAATTTTCCGGAGTTTTTTTTAACGATACAATCACTGTCTTTTCATTCTTCTATTCCAAGCGGACAAAGTGTAATTTTTTTTTACGAGAGAACGCGCTAAAAATTTGACAGAAAATAGCGCGTTGTTGAGAGATTTTAGAATTTATCTCTCCACTTTCGTGGCCGCGGACGTTGCGTGACGCGTTCGCGCCGTTTCGATCGGGCGCTTTTGGAAATCGGAGGCGCGGGTCGCTATTATATCCAAATCAATATGGCCGTAAGATATTGATATGGGTGTACCAATATTTCGTACTGGAATTTCGTGATACTGGCTGACTGCTTTATTCTTTTGACTCTTACTTCTTTTTTTCCTACATTATTATTCCATGCCCGACGTGCCCCCGCGCGTGCGCACATTCGCTATCCATTTTTATGTAATCTTTTCGATATTGCGACAATGTTTGTCAGCAATATTGTTGCATTAAATAGAATCCCGTTGCGATACGATCTTCATCGGATAGAATCAAGTTGAAAGAAAGAATTCTTTCTTCCTCTTTTTTTCTATAAATCTTTAAATTATCGAACGGTAAAGTTTTCGTTGTGCGTAAAGTCTAATTGTTATTAAGGGGTTACAAGATCCCGACAGGAATAAAAATTAGAAAAATTTGGAGAGTCGTAAAAAGTAAAATAATAAAAGTATGAATTTTTTATTATGTATGTCTTTTAAGTATATATTTGACACTATTATTGATTTAGAGAAAACCAATATGTGTCGCAAAATGTGGCAGTTATAAAAAAATAAAATTTAATTTTTTCGCTGAAAAATTGGGGCTTGTAAAAGAAAAGTAAATAGAAAGTGATTTTGATATTTGCCAACCGATAGAGATAATTATAAACATTTGTGTTAAATATTGAGTTAATCGAATAAATTGTTCTGAAGTTATCGTGGTTACAGTTTAAAGAAAAAAAATTATATTCCAAGATAACAAAAAGTTCATATACTCCTATTCATAATTTTTTACAACTCCCTAAATTTTTACTGTCTTCAAAGCCTTGTAACTCCTCAATTACACCATAAAGTTATTGATTCATTTAAATTTATTTCTTCCGAAATAATAATAAAATGAGTGCAGCAGATTGCGCACGCGCGCGTGCACGGCGGGCCTTGCGGGTGTACACGAATGCTGTATCTAAGCTCGGCGTATATACTTTTGACGATACTTTTAATCCTCTTAGGAAACTTGCTAGCTCACTCTTAACAAATAGTGCATGCGTTGCTTTGAACCACCGCGCCACAAATTTCCCGATTTATGTCGTAAATGCGCTAAACAAAGAGCTATAAATGAGGAGTACGAAAA